AAGAGGGATCATAGAGTTAGCTGGGAAATAGTGTGCAGGAGTAAGTCGTGTGGTGGTTTGGGGCTTGGGAGTATTAGGAGAAGGAATATGACTCTGTTGGGGAAGTGATTGTGGAGGTTACCTATGGAGAAGGAGAATCTATGGGCTAGAATAGTGGCAAGTATTCATGGGCTGGAGCACAACGGATGGGACGCTGGAATCAGAGCTAGGATCACAAGCAATTCTCCTTAGAAAGCCATTCATGACCTGCTACCAGTTTTCATTCCTAATATCAGGTATGACTTGAATATCAGTAATTCCATAAAATTTTGGGAACAAACCTAGGTGGGGAGTGCCCCTCTAAAGAATCAGTTTCCGTCTTTGTAAGCTCTTTCTGATTTGAAAAATGAGCCGATCTCGTCTTTCACCACCCCGTCCTCTTCCACTTCTGGGATTGGGTGGAACTTGGGTCTAAGAAGGGATTTGAGGGATTCAGACTTCGACTGTATYTCGAGCCTTCTTGCAATTCTTGATAACATTGTCTTAGACCCCACTAGGGAGGATTCTAGAATTTGGACACCTAACCCCAATGGAATTTTCTCTTGTGCTTCTTTATTTAAAGTCTTAAGTCTGTCCACCAGTCCTACCCTGTCCCTTTTTCCTGTTGGTGAGGTTTGGTGCAGAGCTATACCTCCTAGGGTTGGTAGTTTTTGTTGGGAAGTCTATCTGGAAAGAATTAACACTGGCGATCTACTCCAAAAGAAGAGACCCAATACTTGCTTGTCACCTCAGTGGTGTGTTCTGTGCAAAGCAAATGGGGAGACTGGTTTCACCTAATGGTGTCGTGCCACTTCGTGAGGTCGTTGTGGGATTGGGCTTTCTCCTTGTTTGGATGCAGCTGGAATCCCCCATTAGACATGCAGGGCCTTTTCGCCCCCTCCTTCTTCAGGTGGCGGTTAAAAAGGGGAAGGACAATGCGGAGAGGACTAAGGGCTGCAGTATGTTGGACACTGTGGGAAGAAAGGAACTCCAGGATATTCTCAGAAACTCAGAAAGGGACAGCAGATTTGAGGACTATCATACAGTTTAGGGCGATACAGTGGCTGAAATCTCTAGAAATATTCACAAATTACACTGTGGATGACATGTTGAGGAAGTGGGGTGAAATTGCAAGTTGCACACAGACCAAGTCAGTAATGAGTGTGGCTTGGACCCCCCCACCTAGTGGATTCTTGAAATTAAACTTTGATGGGTGCAGCAGGGGAAATCCGGGACAATCAGGGATYGGGGGTGTTTTTAGAGATGAAAATGGGGTCATCTCTGCTATGTTCTCAGGCCCAATTGGAGTGGGTGACTCCCTTAGAGCTGAGATATGTGCAGTTATGGAAGGAGCTCGGAAAGCTAAGGAATTGAACATCAAGAAACTTATAATTGAAGGGGATTCAGAGGTGGTGATAGGATGGCTAACCAAAGAACAAAATGATCTTTGGAAATATAACAATGAGAAGAGGAAATTCAAATGGCTGGTGCGGGAGATGGAAGTTAAGACATGTTGGATTAAGAGATCATCTAATTCCCTAGCTGACGGTTTAGCAAAACAAGGGGCAAAAAGGGATTCCTTGTTTTGGGCTAAGTTGTAATGTTAGTGTCCTTGTATCTTTGTATTTTCTTCTTTCCTTTCTTGAAGTTCTTTGTGACTCTTGGAAGATAAGTGTGTTTGTCTTCCACTTGTAAACTTTCTACTGATGAATTAATGAAAGTGTTATTGATAAAAAAAAAATATTTGCCCCAAAATCTGTAATGGGTTGGATTTTGAGAACCCAAACCCTCCTTGCACATGAAAATGCAAAACTCTCCCCATGAAATTCAAAATATTATTAAATTCAACACCTTATACATAAATTTTATATGCTTTCCAACAATATGCAGGTCCGGGAGAATCCTCCCGATAGAGGCGTATTGGGCAGTATTAGTCATTTTTTTTACTTTTTTATTTTTTTTTCAAAACCAGTTCAAGGGGCCGGTTTAAGGCTCCTCCACCCCCTAAACTGGTCAGAACCCCGATACACCCTCTGTAGGGGCGTATCGGGCCAATATGTAACAATTTTTTGAACCTTGATTCAGCCTAATACTATGTGATACCCATACCTGGATAGGCTGTAGAATCCCAAAACCCATCCTTCAAGCAAAAAAAAAACCGCCTCGGCAGAGTAGATACCCACCAAGTAGGGTAGAAATTTCCATCCCTAAGCAAGAATAGGAACACATCAGCATGGCTTAATATGGCCAATTAACAATTGTCTAATTAATAAGAGCAGCTAGGGGTGAGCATTATTTGGTTAAAACCAAAAAATTTTGGTTTCAGTTTTTGAATATTTCAATTTCAATTTCAATTTTTTGAACTAGAAATTCAGTTAGCTGATTTAACTGAACTTTGTTATATAATATATAACTAGCGAAGTAACATAGGAGTGACACTACCTGCTGAAAGAGGCGATAAAAGTCCCTAGGCCCAGCTCCAACATAAAACCATTCCTACCTAGTTATCTCAGTCGGAATGTTATTGGAGAACAGCTTCTGACTGATGGAAAAGTTGCCAATGGATTGTGGAAAATAACTCGTAAGCTAGTTGTTTGAAACCCTTATATGTCCAAGATTCTCAACGATGGAATCGGTCTATGGACCTAGGGTACCAGCTAAGGCTTCTGGAGCTCCATAATTTGATCTCAAGTTGTTGTTTCAATTAGCAATATTTGTACTAGTAAAACCTTGTTTCTTAATCGGGTGTTGAGTTTGAGAAGGCTGTGTTAGAGAAGAATCGAAGGTTGACTGACTCAAAAATCTAGGGGGGCAATGGTGGAGGTGCTGGTGCTTGGGAGTAATTCCTACTCCTTGTGTGGTAGGAGCTTCTTGTGTTAATATTAGAAGCTAACGGTGGTAGTTTTGTTGGTGTTGCTGGTGGCGCTGGTAGCAGCAACGTTCAATAACCTTCTTCCATGACCAACAGGACGAAGGAGCTCTAACTGCATCTCTAACATCAAAGAATTCCACGAACCGCTTGGATGGTGTCTCTCTCAATTCCTTCCCAGCCCTAAATTATTATAAAATCATTCAATAAAAAAGTTGTGAGTTAAAAATAAATAAATAAATAAGCCACCCTATCACCATCAACCTACGAAAAAGATTTACTCTTGCTTTGTTTTCCCACTGAAAAGGATATGTTAAAACATTCAAAAAAAGAGAATATTAAATCAATCAAAACCTAGAAAATTATATCATCAGTAGGCCAATTACAGGTAAATACTAAGGGTAGGTATTTGGTTATTCATTGGTAATTCATACCAAAAACTTCATAAATTTCTTTAAGCTTATTTGCTGAAACTTCCGAATCCAAGTTGAAGACCAACAAGGTCTCTTGATTTTGCCCATCTGGACCAGCAGTTGATGTCGGCACAAACAACTCGGCCAACAATGAGCCCACACGCAAGTGGAGGCTTAGAGCCGCTGAATTCTCCACATCAATCGATAAATTCTGGTTCAACAACGAGTTGTAGGATTGTCGTCCATTGGCACATAACTCAGGAGTAACGCTCTCGTAACTATGGCCGAAGGCGGTGGAAGTGATGGTGGCGATTGAAGTGGATTTACACTGCTGGGTCTAGTGTACGCCAACCTATGATAGAAGGGCATCGCTTGGGTGGTAAATTTGCGGGAGGGCAACACGTACTAATACTCCTTAACCTAACCAGCATTGAATTGATTTGATAAAGTGGTAGAACTTTGAATGGGCAACACATACTAATAGATGAAAGAGTAGGCAACACGTAATTAGATTGTTTAAGAGAGAAGTGAAAGATGAAATGGATATATAATAGATATATAATATTTAATATATGATATATTTATATATTAATATATAATATAATGAATTTTGATTTCATAATATATATATATATATTATAATAAAATATATAATATATTATTAAATTTTCAATTTTGACTGAAATAACTAAAAATCGAATTAAATTTTTTTTATTTCAGTTTTTTATATTTCAATTTTGATACAATTTTCATTTTAATTCAATTTTTAATTTTTTTATTTATTCAATTCGATTTTTAACCGAACAAACCAAATAGGGTGAGAACAGATGTGGCTTGCATATCTTTGTGCCTCCACATGGACATGGCAACAATGATAACAATAACATGAAACCACGTACTAAATGGTGGCATCCCCTCAATCTTTGGTTCAATGTGTTGGTTGTTGACATGTATCTTACGGTACAACACGTATTGTTTCCACTCAAACGCCCCACAGCACATCCCGCCGTGTATTGTAAACATCTTCCGATGATAGTACTAATCCCAATCATATCATCATCGGAAGATGTTCACACTACATGGCGGGACGTGCTGTGGGGCGTTTGTGAGGCGGAGATGATCTCGTTTTCAGTGTCACTGAAATGCTAAAAACAAAGATTTAGGGGATTCCAATAAATTTAAATGTTAGAAACCCTCTTTGAAACTGAAAAAAAAAGAAAAGAAAAAGTTGTTTTTGTACCTTTTTATGGGTAGAGCATTAATAACTTTTTTTGGGTATTTGGTGATAGGCCGCCCCGATTCACCATGGGGGCGTTGAATAGTGAAGCATCACAATCATAACCCCCCCTGCTGGAACAGATGGTTTGCATATCTTTGCTTTCTATCCTCTGAATGTAGTTGAATTGTAGAAATATTTGGAAATCATACTATTTGAAAGAGATTGTTTTACACATTTACCTCTACCCCTATGAATTTATAAGGTTTTCTTTGTGTAGATGAAGAGAAAAAAAAACGGAACAATGGGAAGAAAATGGTTTATTAGTAAGAATGGTTCCACCAACCAAAGAGAAACAAAAGAGAGATGGTTGAGTGAAAGAAAGGTAGGGCTTTTGGAGAATAAAAGATCATGAGCATTTCTTCATAGAGTGAAGTCATTTCTTAAATCTCAGACGTCCATTCAGTGCAAACAAATGAGTTCTAAATGCATTACACAGTAGTCCACGCAACTGATGTGGATAAAGGCACCTTGCTCAGATCACTATTCAGAGCAGAGGTTTCCAATAAGTATGTCTCATTCAGAATCCATGTTACAGAAAACTGAAAATCACATGTTGCTGTGGCTCCAACAGTCCAGTACGGTAACAGAAAACCGAGAATTAAAACAAGGTAGATGTCCGATGTCGGTCCTTTCACCAGCTCAACACCCCAAATTCAGCTCTAAGATTTTAGAGTGCAGAACGATCTCAGCCTCCAGGATCTCCTTGCAAGTTTTTTCAAAGTTGGGGAACTTGTTTCAACTTGGATACCATGTGATGATGTTTAGATACCAAACATCAAATAAAGTTTCCTTCCTTTCATTACTGCATTGGGCAGCCTACATCGTCCATAAATAGAATAGACTACTGTCCCATACTTTGCAACAATGGAATGGACTTACTGGCTTATATTTAGATCTGCACTAATCAATTGGTTAGAGAAGGTCTAATTACACATCTTGACACTATAATACCCTGAATACAAACCATTGAAATATCCTACCATCGGAAGGAAACAAGATCACATACTATCCAACTATAGTTCCGGAACTCGTACAACACCAGGCCAATTATTTAGAATAAGAAATATGGTGCTCGGAAAGTAGCTCAACTCAAACAAGCAGCAGTGATGGAATTGACATGGTCATTCAACCACTTTAGATAGTACTCCAAAGTCAAGAAAGTTAATTTGTTCATTTGCAGAGTTGGCATATCATATTATAGCAATGAAATTTGTCAAACTTCAAAAACTTCACCTGGTATAATTTCAGGTTGATCTGTCTCTGGATCATCGCCAATTCTTGGATGAACACTTAAATCCTAACCATAAAATGGTACAACCAATGCACAAAACAGTTGACATACTTTCCATACCCCACACTTTAGAATCCTATATGCACAGAAACCAAACCAGGAGAAGCCAAATTCCAAGTATACTTCCTTAAATTTTTCTGTTTCATAAATATGAAAATAACCATTTGTTAAAGAAAAAATATCAGACGACTCACATAGCTAACAAACAGACTCAAGTGAAGATCCCTTGGACTAGGGCTTGCTATTGCACAATTAATACATCTCCCACACATGTCAAACCATAACCTGAGGTTAGTGAAACAAAAATAAAACTAATAAATGCCCTAAGCTTACAACAAACATATGGACATCATCAAAGCCAAACTACAGCCAATAAAAACCGTAGTGGATATCTACTTTACCCCTTTCCTGTTGTCACAAAGAAATTCCCACCAGAAAACTCATCAACCAGTTCCATCAAACCCCTCCCTTCTGTTGATCTTTTGCAGTTAGATGTCTTGGGAGGTACATATGTCACCAGCGTCTGCGATCTGAGAAACCATTGAAGAGGAGAATATTCATCTACCGCCCAGTTTTTGCCCGCTTCATTCCATTTGAATTGAAAGGAGAGACACTACCACTTGGTCGAGGGCTCTCTTCTCTAAAATTAGAATTGAGCATGGCCAGTTCCCGTAGCTGTTGCCTCTTATAGAAATCTTGTGACTCATCCTGAATGTGGAAGATGTAAAACATGAGAGTAAAACAATGCCCATAATTATCTGTTGGAAGGTGTCTGGTAGGCAAATGATAACAAGCTTCACACATGATGCATATGCAAGGAAATGGAGACACCATTTGACTGGCCCTACATAAATAACTCCAATCTAAGTGACTACTCTTTCTCATCCATTAACCAAACTTCTTTTAATGAAGCACATGTCTGTTGGCCCATTCAAAATTTCACCAGTAATGGGCAGAAGTCAAATTACTCTCCAATGTTTGGATTTCTCTTTAGGCTGCATTTGGTTGTAATACAAATAAATTTGTACTGATATAAAACTATGGCAGTGCAAATGATTCGAGTGTAAATTCTGACCTATTTTTGTTTCAAATTTTAGCTTATTTTGTTTGAATGCAGTACAAATTAAGTAAATTAAGACATGAAGCAGAATAAAATAAAACCTAAAACAAAATTAAACGAGAATTTGCATTTTCTTCATTTGCACTCCCATGCATTAAAGTAATTGATCTTCGCCTTATTTTCTTTGGGCATCCAAAAGAATACAACACGATTAACAATTGATCTTCATTTACAAATTACAGCTGGATCAGACTCCTCGGATCTGCATCATGTACTCACACGCCACTAAAGGATCATAGATTTTCATTCTGTCAAATGGATTCCCTAGCTTTTCTCATATTTCTTAGTGTAAGGAGATGGAATCACATAAACCATCTCACACAAATACTCGGCAGAGAGGAATATTCCAGTTAGAGTTATGACAGTGAGTTAAGCCTTCTGCTTCACATATTATTCTCATGTATGAATTTGCAGGTGAAGATGGGATTGATCCCATGCCTTGTGTATTAGTGTTCTCATTCTTTAATAAAATATAGCCATCTAACGGAAATAGAGGAACTACAACACGATAAACATGTTCACAGAAAGTCAAATCAGAATGGAGGCCAAGTTATCCTCATCCCAGGTATCATCATATGGCATACGTGCTGAGAGGCTAGGAGGCACCACTTGGTGCCCTGTTCATAATATAAAGCAAGACTCGACTGCAGGGGACCACCCAGAATGCAAAATGCAGGGTTGCTGGCATAACAAAGGAGAAAATCTGTGCCAAAAACTAACCATCATTAGCTTAGTTGAACATACATATTGTTTATAACGTGAATTTGAGGAAGGATAGTCCCATGGAAATGTCATGTTTAGCATACAGATAGCCCAGGTCATTTTACTTCTTTGGGTAGCCTTACTAAGATTTACATTGAGCTAGTGGAATGATGTTTGTATTTCCTACAATTGTATCACCTTGCAATAGGAGGTCCAACTATAAAACTAGTATAACTACCAACTAGAATCTGAGAAAGGGGTTTGGATTAGAAATAAATACCACAGGTTTAAGCAATTCCTCTATAATTTCTTGGGCTTGTCTCAGCCTTATATCAACAATATTGACAGGTAACTCAGCCTCAACCAAAATGTGAAGTGGATCATTGAGGTGCTCGTAACCTGGTCTTCCCCTTAGCTTCTCCTCCTTAAGGGCAAAGGAAAATGAAAAGATTCAGCACAAAAGTTATGAAGGAAATTCAAAGACCAAGCAAAGGTGTATGTATTGTATGCTAAATGCATACACAGGCATAGATGCATGTGGACATGCATAGAGAACAGGTTTAGCAGTTGAAACTGTTTATTGAGCTAAATGACCGAGAAATCTTCCATGTGGCAAATTAATTTAGAGCCTAAACACCCCCCCACCCCGGCGGTTCCTGTCGCCATCACCTTATGTTCATGGAATATATTCCAGCCAAAAAGACCTTACTACATATTCAAATAAGCATTTTCTATATGTTTCAAAAATAAGCACTATTTCAAAAAAAAAAAAGCATCTTCCTATATCTTTCAAAATTTTAAAATTTTGAACAGTTAATATGTTGTAAAATTAGTAATGAGAAGGGAGAATGGAACTTATCATTCTGTGCTTTCCAAACCCAGAGTGCAGCAATGTAGCAGAACAGGTACTGAACAAGTTGACAATGAATTGATCAATTGCAAACTGGAACAGGCTGAGTTGTGCCACTTAGTCACCCTCCTTAAAACCGCATTTGCTTCCTACAGTGCAACCGGGTATTTTCAAATCGGTTTCCAAGATGAAACAGCCCACAGGCTTCTAGTAGACGTGCACTCGCTTACCAGTCCTCCGTGAATCACCAATGAAAGATTGGTGTGACTCGAGGAAGAATCTGAGATTTCTTGTTTGGATGAAAACTCTATAGTTGGAAGCGACCATTTTCTGGAGCTGGGCGACATGGAAACCCTTTTCAACCTTAATCTAGAGGATCAAGCCTCTCAGTTTCAGTCTAGTCTGAAACTGATGATAGACGTAAGGACATCGGACACTGTACAAAACCTGCCGTCAAAGGAGAAGGAACCAACCCAGAGCCATAGACAGCTTCAGGGAACATCTATAGGGATGAGTGAGGCGAGCCAGGAGATAAGTACTAACACACCAAGCAAGGTCAAGGTGCCAGACCCAGGCCAAGGCCATATGATTCAGAAAGACATTGACCAACCAGCAACACCCACTGAGTCGGGAACCGGGGACGCCATCTTTGTGCCCTCTCTGAGCCATCCTACAACCAACCCAGGTTTACCAAGTATCCAAGGGAGCTGTGTGAATTCGGTTTTGGTTACTAATGGTGATTGTGCTATCCCTGCAGACACTACAATCGAGAACCAATATCACAAAGAGCCCCAGAATACTGAAGGTGCCCAGACTGACAGGGAAGCAAGTTATGTGGTGGGGAAGGTAGCAGCAATTGATGTTGTTGGGGATAGCAGAGAAGATGTTGTAAGGAAAACAAGGGTGGTAGAAGGTAGAGGGAAAGAAGCTGAGGATCATGGGGAGGGTGAATCTGATGAGGAAATAACGCAAGGAAATGGGTTGAGAAGATGGGGCTGAAATTTTCGCAATTAAGCCCAGACAAGACTCAGAAGGAGTTTTTTGGAGGAGGAAAACCAGGCAAGAGGCAGGTAAGGGAGATGAAAAAACAGAGAGGAGGGTGGGGCAAGAGGGTGAAGGATGGTGGGATAGGTGGAAGCAGGGGCAGAGCGAGGGGGGACCCAGGGGAGCCATGGCCCCCCCTATGATTCAGAAAATCTCAACTATATTACAACTTTCTATGTAAATTTTTTCCTACCCCACTCTCTACCTCAGTGTTTGGCCCCCCTATGGGTCCACCCATACCTTCATTTAAGTTTTGGCCTCCCTTATAAAAATTTCCTGGCTCCGCCCCTGGGTGGAAGGAGAGGCTAAAGATAAAAAATAAGGCAGGGATAAATGATGTGATGATGAAATGAAGATTATAAGTTGGAATGTTAGAGGACTGGGGAGGGTAGCAAAGACAAGACTCATAAAGGAAGTGTTAAGGAGAGAAAAGCCAGATGTGGTGATGCTCCAAGAGTCTAAGGCATAAGAAATTGATAGAAGGTGGGTAAGGAGTGTTTGGGGAAGCAGAGACATTGGATGGACCATGGCCCCGTCGTGTGGTGCCTCAGGAGGAATAGTCACTATGTTGAATGAGAATACGGTGGAATGTGTGGAGGAATTAATAGGTAGGTTCTCAGTGTCAACAAAACTGCAAAATCTGAATGATAATTTTAACTGGGTGTTGACAAATGTTTATGGGCCTAATTCGTATAGGGAAAGAAATGAGATATGGGAAGAACTGGCAAGTGTGAGAGGTTTGTGGCAAGGCCCGTGATGCTTGGGAGGGGGGGTTTAATGTGATCAAACATACTGCTGAATCGAACAATCCGAGACAAAGGATAACCACCAGCATGAAAAGATTTAATAATTTTATAGACACATTTGAATTGAAGGAAATAGCGATTGGACAATACAGATATACCTGGACTAATTGTCAGGAGAACCCGATGTGCTCAAAGTTGGATAGGTTTCTTGTGTCCTGGGATTGGGAGGAACATTGGATTAACATGATGGGCAGGAAACTACCCAAGGTCACCTCATATCACTAGCCAATATGTATCGGACAAGGGACAGATGGGGAAGGACCGAAGCCTTTTAGATTTGAGAATATGTGGTTAACGATCCCAGAGTTTGTGCGAAAGGTTGAGGAGTGGTGGAAAGAAGATAACCCCCAGGCTGTGTGGGAAGGGATTAGATTCCGTAGGAAGCTTCGGAATTTAAAAGTTAAAATCAAGGAATGGAATCTTCATATATTCGAGAGGTTAGAAGAGAGGAAGGCTAATCTAATAAACAGAATTGAAGAAATAAACAAGGAGGAATCAGGTTCATTGGTTGTGGGGGAAAGAAATGAGAGGTTTAATTAAAGAAAAGAGATGGAAGCCATACTCCTTAGAGAAGAAATGACTTGGAGGCAGAAATCAAGAGTGCGTTGGATCAAAGAAGGGGATGGGAACACAAAATACTTTCACATGATTGCGAATGGGAGAAAAAGGAAGAATCTGATTTTTATGTTAGAAGTGGAGGATCACACAATAACTAATCATGATGAGATTGCAGAGGTTTTGGTGGATCATTTTTAATCAATCTTAAGAAGACCTATTTCAGGAAGATGGAAGCTGGAAGGTTTAGATTGACCAATCCTAGAAGATGCCGTTAGTAGGAGCTTGAAGAGAAAATTTGAATTAGATGAGGTTAAAGGAAGCAATTTTTTTTATGGATCGCTCTAAAGCTCCCGGGCCCAATGGATTCACTATGGCTTTCTACCAGGACTGTTGGGAGTGGCTAAAGGATGATCTAATGCGAGTCTTTGAGGAGTTTTATGATAGGGGGATTGTCAGTAAAGGGGTAAATGCCACTTTTATTGCGTCGGTTCGCAAGAAATCTGGTGCTAGCCACACCAAGGATTTTAGGCCAATCAGTTTGGTGACAAGTCAGTACAAAATCCTTGCAAAAGTCCTCTCCCTTCAGTTAAAAAAGGCCCTCCCATCAATCATATCTCAATTCCAAGGGGCCTTCATCCAAGAGAGACAAATATTAGATCAAATACTCATTGCCAATGAGTGTGTGGAGGATTTCAAGTTAGTAGGAAGGAAGGGCATTGTGTGTAAGCTAGATCTAGAGAAAGCCTATGACTTGGTGGACTGGGAGTTCTTAATTGAAGCATTAAGGAAGTGTGGTTTTGGAGCAATATGGTGTAAATGGATTAAAGGATGCCTACAATCTTCTCACTTCTCAGTGTTGGTAAATGGTGCAGTCATTTCTTTGGTGCCCTAAGAGGAGTGAGACAAGGGGACCCGTTATCCCCTTTCCTCTTCACCATTTTAGCTGAGGTCTTTAGCAGATTGATCTCGAAGGCAGAGGAGATTGGTTTGTTAAAGGGTTGGAAAGTAGGAAGGGAGAGGGTGGTGTTAACTCATCTAAGAATGTTGGTAAAACTCTTTGAAAAAGTGACAAATCTAAGAGTGAACCTTAATAAGAGTCAGGTGGCAGGGATCAATTTAGCACAAGATGTTAATGTGTGGGCTGAGGAGTTAGGGTGTTTAAGAAGTGATTGGCCACTCAAGTATTTAGGCCTCCCCTTGGTGCAAATCCTAGAAGCATAGGTTTTTGGAATCCAATTGTGGAAAGGTTTAAAAAGAAACTCGCTGCATGGAAAAGGAATTATATTTCTCCAGGGAGAGATTACTCTCATTACCCTAGCAAACCTGCCAATTTACTACCTCTCGGTGTTCAGCATGCCACAAGCTGTGGGAAAGAAACTAGAGAGAATAATGAGGGACTTTTTGTGGGAATCGGGCGAGAAGAAGAAAGATCATTTAGTAAGATAGGATCTAGTATCTAGGAGGAAAGAATTTGGATGAATGGGTTAAGAAGGTTGAAGGAAAAGAATGAGGCTCTACTAGGAAAGTGGTTATGGAGGTACCTACAAGAAACAAACAAGTTGTGGCACAAGATTTTGACTAGTATTCATGGACTCTCTAAAAATGGTTGGGATGTTGGAGTGTCTTACAGGGTTTCCAGTGCTTCACCATGGAAAGCGATTCACAAACTCCTCCCATTGTTCCTCACTCATGTTAGGTTTGATCTCAACTCAGGTAACAAAGTTAAATTTTGGAAAGATGTATAGGTGGGTGACTCTTCTTTAAAGACCTTATTCCCATCAATTTATGCCCTGTCCGGACATAAGGGCAAACCGGTTGCTGATTTCCTGTCCCCTTCTCCTTCACAGTCTGGTTTTGCATGGAATCTGGGTCTTCGCAGAAATGTGCGAGACACGGAGTTGGATTTGGTGTCTTCTATTATTCAGCTGCTTGACGTGGTTTTTATTGACCCTGCTAAGCAAGATACGAGAATCTGGATTCCTAACCCCCTTGGAGCTTTCAGTTGTGCGTCCTTCTTCAAAACCTTGACATCTCTTCACTGGGATCCAATTTCCAGTCCGAGAAGTCTGGTGTCGCCCTATTCCCCCCTAAAGTGGGTGCTTTCTATTGGGAGGTTTACCATGGTGCAATTAACACTTGTGATCTAATGCAAAGGAAGAGGCTTGGTTGGTGCCTTTCACCTAATTGGTGTTGTTTGTGTGAATCTAATGGTGAAACTGCTCTTCGTATTTTTGTTTCCTGTCCTGTAGCTGGGATTGGTTTTTTTCTCTCTTTGGATGCAAGTGGGATACCCCAGTGAGCTTGGGAAGACTGTTTGAGGCCTCCACTTTCAAGTGGCCAAAAAGAAGAGAAAAAACTTTGTGGAGATGCACATGGGCAGCAGTACTTTGGATGTTATGGGAGGAAAGAAATCAGAGAATTTTTGAAGGAAAGCAAAGGTGCAAGGAATTACTGGTAGAAGGGATTATGTTAAAAGTGATCTCATGGGTAAAATCGATGGATTTATTCTCAGATTTTACTGTGGATGATATAACCAAGAAATGGAGGACTGTAGCATCCACGTCATCTGCAAAAAAGAAGGCAGTAAGAAGTTGGGATCCTCCTGAATCTGGATTCCTCAAATTAAACTTTGATGGGAGCAGTTTTGGCAACCCAAGCATGGCTGTAATTGGTGGGGTCATAAAAGATGACATGGGGAATGTAGTGGGGCCCTTTCCGGCCCTATTGGGTTGGGAGACTCCATTACAGTTGAACTAAAAGCAATGGTCTTCGGAATACAAAAAGACATGGAAATAGGTGTGAGAAAGTTGGTTGTAGAAGGCGACTCCAAAGTGATTATAAGCTGGCTAAAGCAGGATGGAAAGACTCCATGGGTATTCAGAAATGAGATCAAGAAAATTAATCACATTACAAAGGATATGCAGTTATTATTTCAGTGGACTCCAAGAGTAGCAAATGGGATTGCAGACCAACTAGCAAAGCAAGGGGCTAATAGGGAACATTGCTTTTGGGCTCTGCTGTAAGATCGTAAAGCAAATCTTAGGTGGAATGTTATTGGACATTGGGGTAGTCGAGGCTACCTAATCTCTGTACTTATTCTCATATCACTTTATTAATGAAATCACTTTCACTGATAAAAAAAAATCACCAATGAAAGATGCTCAAAGATGTTGAAAGATGATGGACAAAGAAGAATGTAGTCATGTGTTGTTTTATACCACCGGGTTGATCAACACTAATTATAGACTGTTTTCAATCACCCAAATGGAAACAGAGGTGTCCTTATAGAGAGATGTCTCTCCAGAACAGTATGCAAGCCATCTGTTCAAAGAGACAAAGAGAATTTGGGGACAGATTTATGCTCTCCTTGAGGAGTATAGGCAAATAGAGGAATCCTTGAGGAGTATTGTAGGGAGCCAGATAATTAAATTCATTCATTGTAAACTCTTAGAAGCAAGAAATATGAATTTAAATATGAAATGCCAAGTGTGAACATTGATAGATACATGGATAAATGTGAATGTGTTCTTGTATGTTGATTGTGATATTTTTCTTCATAAAACCCACTAGAATATGTGATTTTTATGTATGTATACCTTATTAAGGCCTTATATTTAGTGTTATTGATGTGTTTTTATGATTTATTGAAGTATTTATGTTGTTTCAGTGTGTATCTTGATTTTTCTCTGATACACGTGTATCTAAGGCGTATCCTGATACGCCTCTTAAGATTGCCTTTCTGATACACCTTGTTTGTGACTGACTTTTTTGTAGGGAAGAGAAACTTCTTAATAGAAAGAGAAAGTATAGAAACTTCAGTGAAGATGTTTCACCACGAAGGGTATACTAAAAGCAAAATAGACATTTCACCAATCCATGATTGACAATCAGATTTCTACAGTCAACTTGTTTCTAGAGCCCATTTGTTCTTCAAAAATGCATATGTTTCTTTCCTTCCGTATGCACCAAGAAACAGCAAACAAACAAGAAAAAATACTAATGCTCCACAGAACATTAGCCTTCTTCCTTCCAATACTTGGGACTGAAAATTGCCCCAGAAATAGAGGATGGAGATGAACCATTGGAGCCTTTTTGGCTCCCAACCAGATTACCACATGAAAGATTCCTAGGTCATTTAGGGAAGCTTACTAAATGATCCAACTATTAAACCTATTCCTATATGTACATCTGTGTGTATGAATATGTATATATGATAGATATACACATGTACATACAAAGGTATGCTTATATAAGAAATCATGCTTCTAGTTTCCCAGTTTGCCTTGGTGGACTCATGCAAAACCCATGTCTTCATTGCAATAAAAGTTTAAATCTTTAAAAAGTACATCTTACATTGCCTGGGTCTTTTATGGAACCTTTTCCTCTAATGTACACACGGCAGCCTGTAGATGCTTCCACCCTTTTTAGTGAATTGCCTCTGGGGCCAAGAAGTCGCCCAACAAAATTGAACTAGCATCCATAAAATGTAGTTAGTCATAGTATATTTTTATTCTTATATTTATAAATAACACATTGTATTAGAAAAATGTCAAGTCACCGAAAATTAATATAATTAAATATGGATAAAGCTTACATTTGGAAAAGTATCTACTGGAATTTCCAAGCGCAAAATCTTCTTGACAACATACGAACTTGGGCTTGTCGATCCCCCTTGCCAGTCCATTGTCATCCCTTGTAGCCCACCTAATCTCTGTCATGCAATAAACCGTGTATTACTTTTTTCTTGTGGTTCATGTATATACTTCTTTATGGATTCAAAATGAGATCAAAGAGTTTATTAAAACTTCAAAAAAAAAAGAGTACAAGAGATAGGAAAGCAAAGAAAATAAAACACAAGAGCCAATAGTCTCGGTTGTTGTTGTGTATATAACTCATAATGTACAATAAGAAAATACAAACAATGCATGAAATTTCAAATAAATGAGGACAATAGATGAAAACAGTAGAAAAAGAGAAAACAATAATCTAATTTGATAACAGTGAAAAAGAAGAAAAAAATGAGTTCTTAGTGAGAAGAGAAGAAGAGATTGGGAGAAGCCAATAATGATTTCGCCGCCCCACTCATTAACTTATATATTCATAAAAAAAAAAAAAAATTGATTACAAAGATTAATATGCCCTTAATAGACATAAAAACAGTCCCAAAAAGACGACATAAACTAATGGGCCTTGAGCCTAATAAAACTAACTAACAATTATAAACAAGAAAAACATAAGACAATGCTGAATCTCAATACTCCCCCTCAAGTTGGGAGTAGACGTCACACATTCCCAACTTGTATAAATCATGTTCAAGCTTATTTCTTGCAACTCCTTTTGTGAGAACATCAGCTATAAATCAGATGCAACATATGGTAGGCACACTTCTCTAGATGTCACCATTTATCTTATGAAATGTCTATCCACCTCTATATGCTTCATTCTATCATGTTGAACTAGGTTAGGAACAATATTAATTGCTGCTTGATTATCACAGTACAACATCATAGGCTCTTTTGCATCAACTCCAATCTCTCCTAATAAGAACCGAACCCGAAGAAGCTTTGAAACACCATGTGCCATAGCTATACATTCAGCTTTTGCACTTGACCTAACTACAACTGATTGATTCTTATTCTTCCATGAAACCAAATTACCTCCAACAAGAGAGCACATTCCTAATGTTCCTGCCATCTAGGCGCCATGCCCAATCAACATCTATGTAAGGTTTTAGCTTCAAATGTCCATGGTCAGTAAACAACATCCGTCTACCTGGATATCCTTTCAAACAGGCAAGTATCCTGTCAATGGCTTCCCAATGTTGAACTTGTGGAGCATGCATGTACTGACTCACCACACTAATTGCGTAAGAGATATTTGGTCGTGTCATGCACAAGTATAACAACTGACCCACCAATCTCTGATACCTCCCAACATCATTTACTAGCTCACCATTTAAAGCATAAATTTTGTGATTCTAGTCAATCGGTGCATCTAACCCCAAGTTTTTTTGTCTCCTATAATAGGTCCAAAACATACCTCCTCTAGGAAATAAAGATTCCATGTTTGGACCTTGCACCCTCAATGCCCAGAAAACACTTCAACTCCCTAAGATCCTTAATCTCCAACTCATGGTGTAAGTTTTTCTTCAATGCATCAATCTCACTTAGGTCATTTCATGTGACTACAATGTCATCCACATACACTACCAATACTAACACCAATGATCCCCTTCTCTTTACAAACAAAGTATGATCAAACTGGGTTTAAGTATAACCAAACACAATCAATGCTTTCTAAACCTTTCAAACCAAGCTCTAGGTGATTGTTTCAAACCATATAAGGATTTTTTCAATCTGCATACCTTTCCTTTGGTCACATCATTGTAAAAACCAGCTAAAAGGTCCACGTACACCTCCTCTTGCAAATTTCCATTAAGAAAAGCATTCTTCACATCAAGTTAGAAGAGGGGCCAAGAGTAAGCAGCTATTAGAGATAAAAGAATCCGAACTGAACTCATGTTGGCCACCGATGCAAAAGTCTCCAAGTAGTATATCCCATAAGTCTGAGTGTACCCTTTTGCAACCAGTCTTGCCTTGTACCTTTCTATGCTTTCATCAGCCATGTATTTCACAGTATAAACCCATTTGCATATGTCTCCTTTCCATCAAGTTCCCACAACTTCCCATGTATGATTTTTAATCAAGGATTCCATTTCCTCCTACATAACTGTATTCCACTCAAGTTTGGAGAGAGCCTAACTAATAGTCTTGGGTATATACACAAAATCAAGAGCAGAATAGAATGCCCAATAGGAGGGAGATAAAATGTGGTTGTCTTCAAAAAGACTATTGGCTCTACCTCCAACTGATCCTTTGTAGCATTACTTTTTTTTTCTCAATTCCTTTGCAGCATTACATTCCTCCCCTTTACCCTCCAGCCTCTCTAAGTTATCACCTTCATCTGATCTCTCTTCTTTTCTTCCCCATCTTTTATTACCAACTGATAATGTTTGTCAGCCACCCTCTCAACCTCGTTCCCTCTAGTATGATTATAGTTGAAAATTACACCTACAGTAATTCAGATAGTGCAGGAAGAAAGAGAGAAAGAGAAAGAAGAAGAAAGAAGTTTCAGCAATTGGTTGTGAAAGAAGAAAAGAAGGGAAGAGAGAAAAGAAAAATCCAAACCTCTCTCTCTAGCCCCCTTTCATTACTTTTATTAATAATTCTAAGTCTGAGTACAATTACTTGGATGCCCTTAATGTGGAGGCCAACACTAAAGAAATAATTAAAGAAGATAAAAGAAGGCCCATAACTAAGAAACATAACTTTTAAATACTACTTAAAAGAAATAAAGAACACTAAGGCCCATTCAGCCCATTCTCACTACACTCCCCATCAAGCTAAGCATAGATGTCAATCACTACACTCCCCATCTGCTAGCTGCTCTTCTGATGCAATGAAAGGTAGGCACACCTCTCCTAAAGCCACTCTCTCCCGTATAAAGTGTCTGTCTACCTCATTGTGTTCTATCATGCTGAACTAGGTTGTGAGCAATGTTAATAGCAGCTTGGTTATCACAATACAACACCAGTGGTTTGTCATATGAAACACCCATCTCATTAAGGAGAGATTTAAGCCATAACAACTTAGAAACACCATGGGCCATAGCTCTATACTCTGCCTCAGCTGAAAATCTAGCAACCACTGATTGCCTTTTGCTTCTCCAGGAAACAATATTTCCGGCTACCATAGCACAATATCCTGATGTGGGTCTCCTGTCATCCACATTTCCTGCTCAATCAACATCTGTATATGCTTCTACATTCATGTGTCCATGTTTAGCAAATAATATACCCTTCCCGAGGGTTTCCTTAAGGTAGCATAACACCCTTTCTGTAGCAGCCATATGTGTGTCTCTAGGAGCATGCATGAACTTGCTAATGACACTCACAGCATATGAAATGTCTGGACGAGTCATACATAGATAAATAAATTTTCCCAATAATCTTTGAAAACTCCCCTGTCAACTAAAAGTTCTCTATCATTAGCTGAGAGTTTATGATTCACATCAATAGGGGTAGAGGCAGGTTTAGCACCAAGTTTTCCAATCTTAGTAAAAAGGTCTAGCACATACTTCCATTGAGAAATAAAGATACCTTCCTTGGATCTAGCAACCTCAATGCCCAAAAAATACCGTAACCCCCCTAAATCTTTAATGTCAAACTCAAAACTGAGAAACTTCTTGAGAGCACTAACTTCTTTTGTATCACTACCAGTAACCACATATCATCTACATAAACTATAAGAAATATCACCAGAGTGTCTTTTCTCTTAACAAAGAGAGTAATGATTTGATCGATTCTGAGTGTAGCCAACCGAACAAGAGCAACCCAAACCTGTCAAACCAAACACGTAAAGATTGTTTCAGGCCATAAAGTGATTTCTTCAATCTAAACACCTTACCCTACATTTCCTTGCCATTTATACCAAGAGGAAGGGTATATATATTAGTGAGATTACCATTCAGGAATGCATTCTTAACATCAAATTGATATAGAGGCCAACAATAGCTCACAGCTAAGGATAAAAGAACTCTCACCGAAGTCATCTTAGCAACTAGAGAAAAAAGTCTCAATGTAATCTATCCCATATACCTAGGTATATCCCTTGGCAATAAGTCAAGCATTATACCTCTCAATTGACCCATCTACACGATACTTGATAATGAAAACCCACTTGCACCCAACAGGTTCCTTCCCAACTAACAAGTCAACAATATCCCAGGTATTGTTTTTATGAAGGGCTTCTATTTCATAACTCATAGCATCCCTCCAATCTAATGTGGCTAAGGCTTCTGAAACAGACTTTGGAATGGATTGAGAGGAAATGGAGGCTAGAAAGGCATGGTAGGATGGGGAAAACAAGTTGTAGGAAAGGTGTTTGGAAATACAATGAGTTGTACATTTCCTCTTACCTTTTCTCAAAGCAATGGGTAGGTCAAGGTCTGGAAACAAGAGTGTTGGTGGAGGAGGTGATGGACATATCCTCTCTTTAGTAACCAAGAGTGCCTGAGACTCAACTGGGGTGTGGGATCAACTTGTATTTGCCTTAGCCTTTGCTGTTGGTACCACCTCTGGAGAATAGGATGAATGGAAACAACTGGAGGACTAGTAGGAGGAGGGGGAGGAGCAAGAGTGGAAGACCTCAAAGGAGAGGATCCCTCCACAGGAAAGGGGGTAACTATGGAAGGCTCAACTGGAGTTGGCAAAGGAAAGGATGAAGAAAACAACTCGAGAGATCTCTCTCCCTCAGAAGGATGGCTATAAAAAGGAATTGACTCTAAAAAGGTGGCATCCATGGAAACAAACTAGGTGCCACTAATGGGATCAAAAACAACAGTACCCCTTCTGTGTGGAGGCATAACCAAGGAAAATGCACTTCTAAGCCTTGGGGACAAACTTATGTCTTTTGGAACTGGGAATGTGGACATAACAAGTGCAACCAAAGACCCTCAAAGGAATAAAGAAAATCTCAACATCAAAAAAGAGGACTCCAAAAGGAGATTTTAACCCCGAGACTTGAGAAGGCATGTGATTAATAAGGTAGGTAGATGTTAAAACTGCATCACCCCAAAACTTCACAGGAACATGGGTAGCAAAAAGAATGCTCGTTGCAACTTCCGCAATGTGTTTGTTTATCCTCTCCACTA